TCCAGCAGTAATGTGTTTATACTGTTGCTTTTTGTGCCAGTTGACACTTGTTGCTGTGTAATGGAAAATAGGAGCACTGCAGCACAGCAGCAGGAAAGTACAAAGGAAGGAGATGTGCTTGGACAATATTTAGTTTTACAATTTAAAGAAAAGTCAAACAAAAGTGAGTTCATAGGTAGATGGGATTTTCTGACAGCAATAATGTGGAACTCATCACCAGTGATAAAGTATCCACTGCTAAAGTTAACCAGCTGCGTGTATTAGGCCTACAAATATAAATAAAAATGTCCATTAACTTATTCTAAAGCCTTCTTTCCCAGCACAAAGCAAACACAAACCATTTGCTTACAGTGTGATGTTATATTTTCTAGCAAAGAGAGGAGAAATGACTTTTATAGTCTGGCTTCATCCTTCAGACTTAATGGCTTCCTCTCTCTTTTATCTTGTGAAATCTAGCACAACTATATTGTGTTGGAACTGTGCATTTATTTATTACACCAGGATGGGCAGCATGATGGCACAGTGGTCAGCGTTGCTGTCTTGCTGTGCTGGAGCCCTGGGTTCAATACAGGACCTGGAGTGCTATCTGTGTGCAGTTTTTGTGGGTTTCCTCCCCTAGTCTAAAGACATACTGATGGGTGAAATGTCTTCTGGGAAACTGGCCCTAGTTTATGTGTGTTGTGTCCATATCTACCCTGTGATAGACTGACATCCTGTCCAGGGCGTGTCCTGCCTCGTGCCTATTGCTTGCTGGGATAGGTTCTGGCTCCCCCATGACCCTCTACAGAATAAAGCAGTTAGAAAATGATTGGGGGGATCTATTTGTTTGCCAGTGGTGATAATGATCTTAGTTTTTCTACAAAATCATTTTGTGAAAGTACTGTAGCAAGTGCACAGCTTGGCACAATTGTGCTTTAGCACTTTGCAGAAGATATGGTTCATACCCCCAAAAAAAGGCACGCTTGCAAAAAAGTATTCTGCACTAGTATAAACTGGCTGGCACTGAAACTCCTAAACTCCTAAGCTTAATAGGTACCATTGTCCTCATTGCTTCATTATCACAAGGCTCACAAACATTTTTAAAGCTTATGTTTTTACCCAGTGAACAATCTGAACTGCTAAAACAGTTGTCCGGACTCATGTTATTTTGTATTATGTATCACTTACAATCCTCTAAAATAATTAGAATATTGTATTGCACTTCATTTGGCCACTGCAAAATTGTCAACTGCCATTTAAAACGGTCTTCTGCATGATCAAGAGTGCACCTGACTGACCAAGATGTGGGCAGATTCACTACTGAATGTTATCACTGTTGTCTGAGCAAACAGAACATTTTATCTAAACATCTACAAAAACAAGGCACAGCAGCCCCAGGAATTAGGACACAGTTTCAACAGACATGACAAGGACTGGCAATTTCTCTTTGCCTACTACATACATACAAACAATATTTTTAAACAGACTTCCTTATAGAAAGAAATTAACCTGAAAGAAATTGTAATACAGCACAATGCAGCATGAATATCTATAAAGGGACTCTGATTTTTATTTTTTTAACAGTGATGACATAATACTTGATGACAATTAATCACCTGTTCTAACATTTAGTTTAAATTCTACAGGAATGAAAGAGATGTGGCCTGTCTTGTGTCTGATCTAGATGGTCTTTTTCATATCAAGTGAAAACACCATATACTCAAATTTTCAAAATCTGTATATCCATGATACAGTCTAGGTACTACATTTGAACAAAGTTTTCTACTAAATGTAATAAAACATACTGGAATTTGAATGTGTGGTAGATTAGCTTTATTTTAAAACTGATTTTACAGAAATTCTGTGATCAAACTTTTCCCATGAGACAGGTTAAGGCAAGACAGCTGCGGAAAATATGACTTTTATTGATATGAGCTCAAAGCCTCTTATCTTGACTGTTTTTCCTCTATTTCCTCCACACAATTCAGTTCAATAAAGACATGGATGTGTGTTATTTTTCTGTAAACAGATGGTAAGTCTGCAATTATTCAAATTAATAAAAGCAATCCTGTTTGGACATGAATTCATCTATGTTCAGGTTCTGCATTAGAATAGTGAATTTTATGGCTACAGTAGCTATCAAAATTATTCACCCTCCTTGGACTTTTTCACATTTTACTGTGTTACCATATAGAATTGCAAGGTATTAATTTGGGATTTTTTCGAATTGATCAACACATAACACTCTATAATGTCAAACTGAAATCAAAATTCTACAGATCCTCCAAAATTTATTATAAATATAAAACAGAAAGTGATAGCATTTTACTATGACCCACCAAAATAGGCTCTGCTGCAACCAAATGTCTTTAGAAGTCACATCCTTTGTTGAATAGAGTCCACCTGTGTGCAATTAGGGTATTTCACATGAGCTCAGGAGTTCACTGGAGGCCCCACAGTTGATAAGTACAGATCCCAACAGAACTACATCATAAAGACAATCCAAATTTCAAAGTAAATCTGGGATAGGGTTATTGAAAAGCACCAATCAGAGGAAGGGTAAAAGAAAATTTTGAAGCACCAAAACACAGTAAAGTCCATTATAAAGAAATGTAGAAAATATGGAACATGGTGTTCTCCGAAACTAAGAATCCAGGCAAGAAGTCAGGGAGGCCGCCAAGAGGCCAGTGACTACTGTTAAGAAATTAGTCTTCCATGGCTGAGATGGAAAAAGTGCATTTGACAGATGCCTTGGTGCTTCACAAATTTCAGCTTCATGGGAGAAAGACAAAAACCTCTCTCATTGACTATGCTTTGCTAGAAGGCATGAGGGAGATTCTACAACCAAATTGAAGAAGATTCTATTGCCTTCTTTGGCCTTAATCTTTTTGGCCTCAATGGTATGCGTTATGTTTGGCGCAAATGCATCAGAGAACATAATCCTGAGATCACCATCTGGGAAACATGGTGGGGGCAGTATCATGATATAGGGATGCTTTACTGCAACAGGGCCTGGAAGACTTGAGAAGATAGAAGGAAAAAGATAGATGCAGCAGAGGACAGAGAAATCTTCTGTCCTGGGGTGGCCTAGTCAAAGCCCAGGCCTCAAGTCAACAAGAATCTGTGGCAGGAATTGAAAATTGCTGTTCACCTATGTTTCCCATTCAATGTGAGGTTGTTTGAGCAATTTTGGAAAGACGAAGGGGCAAAAATTGCAGTGCCCAAATGTGCAAAGCTGGTAAAAACTAATCTAAAAAGACACATGGCTGTAAATTCAGCCAAATGTGTTTCTACCAAATGTTGAATCAAAGGGGGGTGAAAACTTAAGCAATTAGTTATTTTGCATTTTATAATTAATTTAGAAGGATCTGTAGAATTTTGTCTTCACATTCACACTTTACAGCATATTATGTTAATTAATGGCAAAAACTCCCAGTTAAATACATCATGATTCCATATCAAAACAATAAAATGTGAAACTGTCACTATAGAAATCAGTTATCAGTGGTGTGCACTATTGTACTACAATTATTACAATATCATAACACCAACAAAACCATTTACATAATTTCTGTGTATTAAGACTTGGTTGTATTTGTATAATTTTATGCATTCGCATGTTCCTTTTGTAACAATAAAGAAAATAATAATAAAAATAATAATAATAACCATTATAATAATTGTTATAATAAATAATAACTATTAATAACATTATAATATAGTGCTTTCCTGGACACTTCACGGATGGGAAATTTGGCTAGGATGCTGGGTTAACATCCCTACTCTTTTTTCGAGAAACACACTGGGATTTTCAATGACCACAGAGTCAGGACCACAGTTTTACACCTCAACCGAAGGACGGCGTGTTTTTACAGTATAGTTTCCCCGTCTCTATACTGGGGCATTAGGACCCACACGGACTTCCCCCTACTGGCCCACTAATACCACTTTCAGGGGAACCTTATTTTTTCCCAGGTCCCCAGCTCAGGTACTGACCAGACTCACACCTGCTTAGCTACAGTGGGTTGTCTGCCGTGAGTCGCAGGGTGATATGGCAGCTGGCCACGTTACAAAAATTGTCCGAAGAGTACGCAAGTTGCCTGTAGTGTTCTCTGTCATCCCCTCCAGTGAAGTCATGCACAGGACTACATCCCAAAACAACTCTGAGAGATGAACCTGACGTCAACACAAAGAAGAAAGAAGAACTGGAGAGAAAATGCACGCAGCATCTGGAGAGTGACATTAATCAAGACAATGGCAAACCTGCCACAAGCAACTTGAAGGCTCCCCCTCCATATATTGGACATGATTTTATCCCCATTATTAAAAATGATGCAACAGAAGCAAGTGGTACAGGATAAGAACATGGTTTGCTGTAATTTAAAATATTAAGTTTCATGGCTTAATATTGCTTTAAGCTCTAATTGGTGACGGGTGAGACGGATGAATGGTCTCTAAATAAAAGTAGAGAAACTACAGATATCTACATTTCAGAACATGTTTGCACCACATAAAAGCCTTTTGAAGCAGCTGAAAATTGTGACCTTGAAGAACATCTGTGCTGTTTCATTGTCCCTGACCATGTTCTCTATAGGATTATGATAGTATCACAACAGCCTTTCGCTGAAAACAGTTGCAGCATGAACACAACTCTTTAAGGAAATCATGTTTTCTTCCTTATAACTGAACTTCCATCATAGAGGCCTAATGGGATAGTACCAGAAGGAACTTCATTAGGAACTACATAGCATTTGTATAGATTTACCATCTTTCTTCAACACCAAAAGTAGAAATCTTGGCTTTTGTTTTGCTTTGATCCATACTTGATTTGATTTAAGTAACAAAATCTTAATGTTCATTGAACAAAATTCTAATTGAACTCACAATTCCATCCATTGATTACTTAACCCCCCCCACATCACCTTTCTAACACTTAATACAATGATTACAAAATGGAAACAGACATATCCTCATGCAGCATTATAGACTGCTATTGTAATTAAATGAAGACATCCACTTGGTCTATTTCAGGCACTTTCAAGATCTTAGTTTATTGTATGGTAAAAAGCAAGTATACAGATTAGGGATCCCTTTAATTTCAAGCCTACAGTTATACATTACCTAGTATTTTTACTCCAAGAGTATATTAACAAAACATAGTCAGATACCTGTAAACCCCTGTCATGAATAAGCTATCATACCAAAATCAGTGTTGAGTTATCTCCCCAATGTATTGTATACATCAAGTGAAGATAAACTACTGTAAAGCAAGCCATAATTAGAGGTAACAGTTTAAAAAAAAAAGATTTTGCACAATGTAGTAACAAAATGAATACAAAATGAGTAAAAATCAGCTTCTGGAGTAAGGAAATTTGAGTCTTGAAATTAAAAAAAAAAATCATGCAACATGAAATAAGCATGGGATATGAACATTTTCAGTCAAAGACATTATCTTATCATTTGTGTCACAGAAGGGAAGGTTCCACTCACGCTTAGGATACAAATTGGTCAAAGGCTTCCTTTACACAGTCATGTTAACAAAATATCACAACCATTCCAAACAGCACAGAGGGGGAGATAAAAAATCTAGTCGTCACTGGGTGGAGTGCCTGTTAAGAAGATCTCAACACTACACCATAATGACGCATGCTGTTAAAGCCCCAGTGTCCACTGTAAGTGAGGTTAACACAAAACTCTGGGTCAGGTGTGTTCTTGTCCGAAAAACTGGGTAGTAAGACAGGGTGTTTATTCTACAAGAAAGTATTTACAGAATACAGTGGAATGTGCTCCACCCCAGGAATGCTCAACTCAAATAGTGATGTTTAGTCAACTGGCAGCTGGGTTGGCTGTTTTTGTTTGTTCAGTTATTTAAAAGGTTATAAAAATAAACAAGATTATAGATTTGAACAGTACAACAGACAAACACAAAGCAGAAACCTTCCTTATACACCAAAGCAAAATCACATATCAATGGATCTCTTATAGCATTCATTGGTAAATCAAATTTCAGGGAACATAAATATAAGACAGGGAAACGTGGCTCGACAAAAATCGAAAAAAGGAGCAAAATATTTGTCCTCAACTAGTGTTTCGTTCTGGTTTAGGCAGAAACTCAGCTGTTTGCCTGGTGAACAGTCAGACTAAACCGTGCTATACACAGGGGCGACCGTACAAAGTGCTGACTGCTAGACCCTGTAGAAAGCATGTTGAAACTTACAAGAGGTGCTGTGTTTAGTTTTAATCCTGCCACAACTCTTCAGTACAGGGCATTGAAATGTCACAGTGGATTACCTTGAACTGTACAATGCACAACTGTAAAGAAAATGGCTGTTCAGAAACATGGAAAGGCCTCAGTCATGTACCAGGCTAAAAGTGAAATCTTTCTAAACAGTCCCCTCCAGTTTTAAATATTCCGAAGACATCACCCACAGAGTGGATCTATAACCAGACTGATTTTTTTAACATTATTTTTAAAAGTCCTGTTTGCACAGGAGTAACGTGAGCGTTTAGATGTTGAGATCTCACAGCGAACTAGGAGGGCAAGGAAGGGATTATCTACAAGCAAAGAAAATATTAAAGAATGATACATGTCTCAGGGTCAAAGCCCAGTTATAACGCGGAGGAAACTACATGACATAGCAACATTTGAACAAGATTACCAGTCCACTGTGAGAACTCATTTCGTAAAGGCAGCCACCACTGCCCAGAGGACCTCGTTCGTGTTGGTCTTCATACTTTCGACTTCCGGGTCCAAGTCCAGCAGCTGTCGTACTCTTTTCATGGCCAGGTCGTACTGGTCATCCAAAAGCGGGGCAAAAGCGTTCTCCAACACGTCAGAGGAATGGGCTAAGAAAATAAGGGCCAGTAAGCGCTTGTCCATGCGGTGGGGGTCGTTCACCCACTTCTCCAGCACGGCTTCCTGTACTTTCTTAATGAGGCGCTGCTTGATGTTGTTGTTGGTCAGGGGGTGTGTCGTCATGTCGAAAAGCAGGAAGTTCTGTTTCTCAGTTGTGAGCACTCCTTTTTCCACCAGGTTTTTGGCTAAGCGCTCCCGTACATTCCTTAGCTGATAGTGCAGTTTTAGAGGGTTCCACGTCTCACCTGCAGAAAAAAACAAACGATGAGTAGAATAGAAAAGGGATGACTATTTTGATATTAAAGAAACCGCCATTATCTGCTCATGAAGTTTAAAGGGTGCTTGAGGTTTACTGAACTTATTATGATGTCTTGTATTAAGTAGAAAGGTTTTTTGACAAAATGTAAAATTGCTGGTTATTTTAGTATTTTATACAGAACTTGAAACTGGCAATTGTTTGCAGTTTGGCTTGGGCATTACGTCCTATACTGTACATGAGGAAAGAAAGATGTCCTACAGAGCCACTCAGGAGCCAAACATTCAAATAATCTGAATTTATAAGGGTTAACAACACATAAAACACCACTATAATTAAGGTCTGTTCACAGGCAAAGCTGGAAAATGGTCTGCAACAGGTTTGTCAGCATAAAAATAAAACTACATCTTGTTCTATGGGCTCTGGTTTACTTTGGACAGACAGATTAATGGCGGATTATCAACAGACTACTTTAACAGATGGCAGTCTACTCATCAAGACTCTTAGGATAATCACACAAGCTATACTTAAGAAAATTGTCCCCAGACTCTGATAAAACTCACTGAATTAGAAGCAATGTTTTCCTCACCATAAACGACTAAAGAAGGTGAACATATTTCACAGGCTTACAAATAGATACACGATTTCAAAAGATAGGGCCCAGTAAACCTAGTTCTCAATTCTTGTTGTGGTCTATGTTGTGTAGGCAAGGTCATTTATCCCTTTTTCAGATGAAGATAAGATCAAACTGAAAACAAACTATTCTTAGTTTCATTCAATATTAAGAAAATGCAGCAAAGACTCAAAACTGTGGGGATAAATGCAAATAATAGGAAACCTAGTAATGTGGCAGATATTCAATATGCATTTCTGTTTTCTTGAATAAAACAAGCCTATACATTCCAAGCTCTGGAAGTATTTCTTATATGTTAATGTGGCTTGTCTAAGCTCACTGAAGCAGGTGCAAGTTAATACAAGTGACGAGACCCAATACCAAGACTGCAAAGCAAAGAAGCCATCCAAGCTGAGAAATACTGATCATGAGATGGCACAGAAAGCCTTTCTTTTTTTTCCAAGGCTGTTGATTATGAAGCACAGTAATCCTTTGCCAAGAACATGAAAAAAATGAGCACAATCAATTGCACACCAAATATTATCATTGCGGGTTGGATACAAGACCTTTTTGTAAAAGGGCCACTATCTCTATGGGGCAACTACAGTAATAGAGTAATGAATTCCAAATGACTATAGCGATGTGTTTAAAAGCAGAAAGCTCTTTGAATTCATTTCCCTTACACAGCCTCTTACATCTGCTCTGGGCCTAATCATATGTGATTTTCCTGCATTTTTCAGTAATCCTTCAAGCTCCACTTTCCTGCTGTTTAAGGGGTAATTTAACCCTATCACTGTGAACAATAACACATTTAGTACTAGTCCCACTGTTTAGTACAAACACTGATCCTCTCTTTTTAAACAACTTTTATTTAGCACGGCTGTAGGGTTTTCTCTACAGATACACTATACTGACATGCATTTTGTTTACCCTCCCTGGGAAGTGATTGTAAACTAAATCACGTACATTTAGAGATTGACCTGATGGAGCAGATGAGACTTTGTATGCTTTACAGTATGTGTATCTGCTTGGGATAGTCTTTGAACTGAATTTAAGCTGAAAGAATGAGCTTTTATTGGACTTACCAACAGAACCCTTCTTCTCATGGAAATAATGTCACACAAAAACCTCTTCCAGTTAATAATTATTTGGGGGATATATAAACAGTTCCAAAATGGGTTGCAGAAGACATTCTGCAATGTCTAATTAAGTCCAAATAAGAAATGTTGAAAAGTAAATGCGCTAATTGTTTCCAGGCTAACAATTTAATTGCATCTGAGGGTAAAATATACAGCAACCTGTTTTGATACAACCTGGTGAAACAACACCATCAAGTAAAAAAAGGTGAATAATTAAAGTGTAATATTAATTCAGCCCAAGGAATGCCCCAATCCCTAAACATCAGATAACTACAAAGATACAGACATGAAAATTTAACATAGAATAAACATAAAAAATAAATAAACCACACATCACAATAAAGTTCTAAACAACACTGTTCCAGTGCATCCTTATATATACAAATAGATTTATTGCATTAATTTAAAAATTGAGTAAGTGGGAGAGTGCTTGTAACCTGGTCGCACCAAATCTAAGAAGTTAAACCAGGCTGGGCCTGAATAGCACTGGGATACGAAACTTCCAAGGAAATCCAGAAACACAGGCCTCTCTCTTCTGGAATACAATTTAGAAACCAGTGCTTTAGCAGAGTTTGATCCTCTGAAAAGATGTACAGCTGAGGTCCTGACTACTTGATCATAAAGGATCTCTTGACGGTGTCTGAAAAATCAGGGGTGTTAGCACTGGTGTACTGGAATTATTAGTACATTCACTTATCCAAACTGTAGCAAAGGTTTAGACCAATAACTCCAAACACTGCATTCACAGGTTCCCAATTTCATAAATGTGTCAAAGTACTGTACTATAGATTGCATCAGTGCAACCTAAAACTCTGGATAACCATAAAGTTCTTAAAAGTAAGAGCGTATAAAGACATGGCAGAAATTGTGCTTCCGCCCATCTAGTGGAATTCATGCAGATGAGCTCAAATTAAGAACAGGACAACACTTAAAACTGTATAACTGTGTGTGGCAGAGATGGTTTCTCTGAACATTGTAGACAAGCAGGAAGAGAAAATCCACTTACCACTTAGCAGTTCAATCCAGCTTTGTACTGTTTCAGGCGGCTGAGTTTCTTTAATGTGTTTCAAAGCTTCATCCAGCAAGACATCCCCAGTCTGCGCATCAGACTTACAAATCACCTAGCAACATCAAAGACTACCCTTAGATTTTACAAAAGACAAAATGATTTAAAAAAAACATATTTGGATGCCTTTAATGTTTTATGCATTTAATTAACACAGGTCACAAAGGGCACAGACTGGCAAAAGCAGGCTAGTATAACAATGCTTGCATGAATAATGTAGTTAATGTGAAAGAACTATATCTTATATCCAGCAGTACGATCCAGTTCCACTGTCCCAAACCAAAGTCAGAATGTATAACGAATTATTCACAATCGCCTGTAATTCTTTTGGTCTTGAGAGAGGAAAGGTCATAACTAGCTTTTTTGATGGCAAGCAGTCCTTTGGTCTATCTCTACCACAAGGAAACTTTTTTTTGGGTATTCCCAGAAATTAAGGGCACAAATCAAATGTAACTAAAAAGATACTGCGTTATGTGTACCAAAGCCGTTAAAAATGATGAGAACCCAGCTACAGGACAGAAAATTAAATCACAATGTTAGGACAATACAAACAGCACTGTCCCACATCTTTAAATTACTAACTGCTGCAAAGTTTGTTCCATGTAGAGTTTACAACATAGTTACAAAAAGACTGAGCTTGTTATTATATGAGCCTATATACGAACACACAATTTAAATAGATCCTGTGTGAAAGCTGTTGAATCACATAACAGGCTGTTATATCACATTTTTCTAACCAAACAGTTCAGTGCAAAGAAGTATATGCTCAAAATAAAGACCAATTATTCTAAGCAAGGTTAGCATCTTATTTTCAATTTGTGAAGCAAATCGCTTAAATCAAGGGCAGTCAAACTCTAGGTAAAGCTAGAAAACATGTGCTGAACAAGAGGTTAAAACACTTAGAACAATGAACAGCTTCACAGTGTTGTTTAGAAAATCCCAGTGCTCATTTTAAATCCATTAAAACATCTCCACTCCAAACACAAAAGTGCACATTATGAAGGTAGCAAGAAATCCCAAAGACAAAAATAGTGGAACACTGTAAAAATAAATGCTTATAATTAAATGTGTTTGGTCCCAATAGATCTACTGGAAAAAAAACATGATGAAATAGGTATGGTGTGTAAATGATATACAAGAATGGCAGACAGATTTGGCATGGCAGAGAATGTGCTGTGATCTTCACACATGAAACCACGTGATATTACCAGGACTGATATAAAGGAATATTAGTTCAGTACATGATTAAAAAATGTTCACATTAAAGAATTTAATCCCTAGATATTCACCCTTCTTATAAAATTTGTGTAAACATATACAACCTGGCTCTATAAACCTAGGTGCTTGCTCCCTCTTGTGGTGAAGAGTTATTTTCAAGGGGTATGAAAAATGTACATGAATACATTTGGTGCGCGTTCCTTGTTTAACTTATTATAAAATTATCAATAACTGTATCACTCTCCCCTTAATATTAAATAAAAAAATTAACATTTTTATTATAAAGTATATAATTATACTTTCACAACACAGAATTTAACTCTGAAGCTCAAAAATGAGCATGCATTTAACTTGCCTATCATAAAAAAGTTGCAGTTCTTCCAAGTATTAAAAATATATATTTTCAAAACACAATTTTAGTAAAGTGGCACGTTTTGATAACTATTTCCAGGGTTGCTGTATTGAATTCCTGCTGTATTAAATTGTTAAAAAGGATCAAGTGAAAAACAGCAGTTTACCTCCTAAGCAGTGAAACAGCACTATCTCAACTCAAAAAGGAGAAAAACATTACATATGTTAAACTTGTGGGAAACAGTTTTCTTTCAAAGTTGTCCAAATAAAATCTCTGGAGCTGAAAGCGATTAATGATAAAAAAGGTGTCTTCACACTTTTACAGTCTAAAGAAACTGGTACAGACCTTTCTTGCCAATAAGCTTTTTCTCCTCATCCCACAAGCCTCCAGCTGCAGACGTCCTCTTAAGGCCAGTTCAATAAGCATACAGCCCCGCAAACCAGAAGAGATGCAGTCGTTCCAAAAGGATGTGTAGCCCTGTGTACAAACAGAAACGTTCATTTTAAGTAACAGCAGGGCTTGTTCGCACTGTTCGGGGGAAGAGGAAAAAAAAAGGATGCAGATCCATAGTTGTTGAGGAGCTGCCCAATGGGAGTCGAGCAAAACAATGAGATGAGTAGGATGCACACTCTCTACCCCAAAGATATTTAGTAGACAATGTTCCGGCACACAAAGATTTTAAAAAAGTTGACTCAGCCACACTTCCACTTAAGGGAAAGAAAAACATGGGATATATAAAAATTAAAAAGTTGCACACTGAAATGTATAATTCATAATAGTGTTTCACTGGTCTCATGGAAGGGAATTAATTTAAGATGGTCTCTTTTCAACAGACCACGCAATGAAATAAGTGTTTACAATCTGCCAGCCTGCACTGCGCCTAAAAGCCAGAGAAAATGTATAGAAATAAACTTGACTCCAGGGACTTTTTTGGCAGTTAAATATTAAACAGTCATAAAGACCTTTAAATACTAAATTATGTTCAAGCTGTTTAGTGAAATCAAAAAACTGAAATGACTCTAGATTACTCAACAATATCATTACAGTAATAATAAGATTACTTAGAAATAATATTAATTTTTAGATTCAAACTAGAAGCAAGACTTTCCACTTCTTCCCCAACACATGTGGGACTTCAATCAGAGGTTTGCCACTGAACAGCGATACCTGTAATGTGCTGTGAACATGAGCTAAAACAAAGAATACAGGAGAAGCGTTTTCACACAGAGAATTGTGGGAGTCTGGAAACAATTTTGTAGTCATGTGGGTGAAGATGACTCTTAAGAATCCTTTAATTAACATTCAGCCATCCAGCCATTTTCTAACTGCTTTATCCAATACAAGTTAATGAGGGGGCCAGAGCATATCCCAGCATGAAACAGGCACAAGGCAGGATAGACTCTGGAGGAGACACCATTCCATCGCAGGGAACACACACACACACCTGAGCCAATTTTCCCAGAAGCCAAACAAACTACCTCTACGTCATTTGGACTGTGAGAAGAAACCTGCATGAACACAGGAAGAACATAAAAACTCCACACAGCCTAGCAACCTGGGATTGAACACAGGGCCCCAGTTCCGAGAGGAAGCAGTGCTGTCCCCTTTAACAAAGAAACTGATTCAATTGCTGGAGCTATAAGATCTCCTAGAAAGCTGAATCAATTTCCTCTGTTGTTTTTCAAATTCTATGTTCTTAAGCATTAGTGCTTCAATCAACCCTAGCTCTGCTGAAAGTGCTGTAGGACTCAATGTGAAAAAAGAGCAGATGGCCTGACAGCACAATTTCTTTCCCTTTACAATTGTACCTTCTATCACGTCACGGGCAGCACAGGCCCACATCAGAGTTTCAATGCCAATCAGTGGAGAAGGCAAGTCATTCACCGACAGCACCACAAACCACAAGATCTGTGGCGGCTGCAGGGGTCGTCTAGGTAACTGTGCGTCATCTAGTAACACGATCCTGACCCAGGCTGGAACACGCAACACTTGGATCACACAGCTCTTCCTGTGATTGAGGAAAGCTTGTGTGGTCCTCCTCGCTCCCTTGCCAGGCTGGCATTACTGTTATAACTGTAATGCCAATGTCGAGCTGATTAGCAAGTGGTTATTTTGAATAAAATAAGGGGAAAGGTAAAAAAATGTGAAAAGGGTAGTTAACACCAAAAGGTATACCCAACATTCATCCATCCTATCTCGGCAAGCACTGGGTGCAAGGTGGGGTACACCCTGGACAGGATGCCAGTCCATCACAGGGGGCACAGACACAGACATGTACACACTCATAGCAGGGTCAAGCCAATCAACCTACCTAGTATGTCTTTGGAAAGTAAAAGGAAACCAGAACACCTGGAGGAAACCCTTGCGGAGAGAATGTACAGACAACACCACAGGTCCAGGACTGAACCCAGGGCCCCAGCCTTGTGAGGCACCAATGCTAACCAATGCGTCACCATGCTGCCCCATACCCAGCATTACACTGTATATTTTTCTATAGTGCACTTGCTGAAACAAAAACACACAGTTTATTAAGATGAATGTGTGCCTTCACAGTTGTTTTACTAGTTTCCTGTGCTCTCTCTATGCCATGCATCTCCGGAAGGCCCCAGTGAAGTCAGCCTTCACCTCTGCTCTCCAGATGTCAGGCCTGCCAGTGTTCTTCCGACCTGGGCCTCTGGGGAGGTTGCCATGGAAGCATGGCGATAAGTAAAATGCCAGTGGAACTGTGGAACTGCAGTAACATACAGCGAGGAGGCTAGAGCTCTCAGCACAGCTTGATTAAAGGCAGCTAATCCACATAATTCATAACAAATCTAAATGAAGTCTCTAAATTAATTCACTTGTAAGGTCTATCACTTTATCTTCAAAAGGAGTAATACAGAGAATTTGTATGAACTCTAAATCCCTTCTCCCATTAAATATGCAAGTGTGTAGGCAAAGCTGCTGTGTTAAATGACCAGGTTTCTTTAATCCTTGACAAACAAAAATAAATCATAAATGAATATGATCACATCATAAAGGCAAAACCACAGATGTGAAAAAGGGTCAAGTAAAGCTAACAGCAAGTGCATAAGGCCATTTCCTATTCCTAAAACCCACATTCAAAATTAAATTAAAAAGGTAAACGTATGTACAACACTGTCAAAAACATTTCACACAAATACAATTGATAAACATAATAGAAAATGATTATATCTCATGGAAAGTTTCAACCACTGTAGACATTTGCTTTACAAATTTACTCTAGAAGTCCTAGTCATCTAACTTGGTTGTTCAGTGGTATCGAAAAGTAAAGCAGAAAGGCACCATTCTTTAATTGCAGTGGGTATAAATTTGTTTCTATTTTTCTTTGGAAAAATAATACTGCTGTTTCTCCTAGACTGCCGTGTGCTTTTGGAATATTCAGCACATTAACACCGTCTGAGTAACTGCAGACATTTTTAAACTCACCTGTTAAGTAAATTTAAGATGGAGAATTGTTTATTTTGAATTGCCAAGGGATTGGAATGCTTTTTCACAACATTTTATCCAGTACAGTATTTGGAACTTGAGTTAGCCGGCCAAATCCCAGTGGGTTCTGATCTGCAGACAGCAGTGGGCCTCCGCAGGAGTCTTATGGTACCGATCTGAATAAGGCCAGCTCTGTTTGGAGAAGCCAGATAGACACTGCTACTGTTTCAGGTCAGCCGCTCTGCTGTTTTAAGCACAGCAGTGCTAATACAACTTACTACCCTTATTCCCATACCCTTACTAAACAATTCTTTCCAACATCACATCTGGGCACCAGTCCTCAGCTATGAAGCATAACTATTCACATAATTTCTGGAATTAGCCTCGAGATAATGCATGGCAGTTTTCCCCATCTGTCTAGGGAAAAAAAGCAATTCACTTTCAAAAGTTGAGTTCATTTTGAATTAACAAAATATACTTATTGACCCCAAGGAGTGAATTGAGTCTCTTCTAAAAACATAGATACAAACCCCCCCAAACCATCCAAAGAGCCTGTTTTTATTGTAATTAAGTAGTACTCTCTCTATAGTTTGATTGCTATAAGAGATTTAATACTTTCACTACCATAGTTTGGTTTCTGTGAGGGTTTAGAACTCCCATATTATTAAAAAATTAAATAAAGTTTTAAAAATAATGGAAGTATGCAGATACAAAACAGCTCATTAAGTATTTAAGGATTAACATTTTAAGTGACAAAGCAATAAATCATTTCCTCCTTTCCTATATTTAAAGGTCTCCTAAGGACAGGCATTAAAAGAAGTTGAGAAAATAATGGTGAACACATGTCTGAAGAATAATTTCAGTGTTTACTGAAAAAAGAGAACCAACTTGGTTTCATGAGCAGTGTGGTTTGAAACTGTGCTTTAATCATGGTAAGAACAGCTATTCTTGCTACCGGATGCGTTAAATAGGAAAAACAATCAAGTCAAGAAGTCATCTGAGAATCTCAAGAAGTCATCTGAGAATCTCATGCCTAATGTCCAATGTTTTCATCTTTTGGCACGTGACATCTCTTATCTTTGGCCAATTCCTTTTCTGAAGAGGCCATTATGTAACTTGCTTTTCTGTTTTGCTGTTTACATCTGGATTCTGTTATGGATTTATTTTCACCAATTGTTCAATATTCAGCAGAAGTGTCATGTATTTAACAACCACAGTTAAAATAAGTTTGGGTAATTAAAAATATATATATATACCCAGAGGGCAATAAGCTGCTCTAAGATGTTACCAATTTAAAAGAGGTAAAGACTGCTAATAACCTTTTAAAGGGGGTAAATTTGTGCAAAAAAAAAGAAAAAGGAAACCTTGCATATTGTAGTCATCAAAACTCCTGTGCTTCCTGCATGGTCTAAAATCTCGTTTCAGTGTCTGAGTAGTTTGATGAAAACTCCCTAAATTACCCATGTGATAACCGTCAAGACTTCCCAGTTAAACAAGTTATTTTAGTCACATTAAATACTTGCAGTGAACTACATTTGTATATATAAGGGCACATTAAATGCAACATGGAATCATCATTCATAATATGTGAATATTTCATTATTCAGGACCTAATGGAATAGTCAGCATGCAGGAATCAAAAATGAAAAGAAGCGAACATGACGTGTTTTTAAATTTAAATAAATGGATAAACTTTTGAAAAGTAACAATCAGCTGAAAGCCAATCCCAGTGATTAAATATAAGCAAGTTAGAATTATGAGGTTTCTAAATAACAGACTGTGATTCAAAGATCTCTTACACACTGATTTCTGAAAAAGAGATACCCACGGAACAAAAATAAATCTCCCAAGAACTCTACAAACTTTTTATTTTGTTGATGTCAGTAAAATAACTTGGTCCTGGTGTACCATGTTAACTGGAGTAAATCAATTATTTTCAGGTAAGCAGAGACAAATTTCAGTTAGGTGTAAGTTACTTAACCACAGCATCAAACGGACTACAGAGTCACAGATAAAAGCATTAACTT